CTCCCCTCCCCTCCCTTCCCCTCCCCTTTTTTCTTTCCTTTCCTTCCTTTTTCTTCTTTTTGCTTTTTTGTTTTCATTTTCCTCTGCAGGCAAGCAACCATCTGTCCTGGCTGTGTAAGCACAGTCCAGGGCTACCTCTAACAGTTAAAACTGTAACCAAAGTCCCAGTTAAATGCTGAATTCTTGAAGAGAAAAGAAATTTGACTAATTTCCAAGATTTATTTTCTTTTTTCTGGAAGTATTCTGCAGAGGTGAAAGAAAGAATTCTTTATTCTATTGCTTGAATAATGCTTTGAAGTTTGCTCCTTAGCCAAAAGCCTGTTGACAGTAACATCAGTGTTGGGCTGACTGGGATCACGTATTTCTTAGGAATCTTTAAAAGCTCTCTGAGCAGCTCACCAAGGTTTGATTAACATTTGATTTCTATCTAAGTGAGGAAGGAATTATTGCTCTGTCTTTTTATGGGTGGATAAGGAGCAATCATTCAGTGATTTACCTGCCTTTTAGGGACAAATCTCTAGTCCTGGTAGAGATCCCAGGAGTTTGACAGGGAAGTCACTCCTTTCTTTTTAGAACCATTCTGGTGTCACCTTATGTTGCCACCATTTCCGTACCTTTTCATTGTGCACGTACTATTTTTCTCAGAAAAACTAAATGATGGATAACCTCAGAGTTTTATTTTACAGCTATTTCCAGTAGATGCAAATCAACATTACTCTTTTTTCCATGGTTTATAGTTATTCTTTCTATTTTTTCCCCCCTCCAAATTTTAAGAAGGAGGTTTATTTGAGGTGTTGATGTTTCTTATAATCATTTTCTCACTAGTAGCTGTGACAAAGTCTAATCTTCTCTCTTCCTTTTGTCCTCAGGAAATCCACTGACTGTGGCCTGCAAAGCTTTCTTTGGATTCAGTGGAGAATCAGGCCCCATGATCTACTGGATGAAAGGGGAAAAATTCATAGAAGAATTAGAAGGTCACATTAGAGAAGGCGAAGTCAGGTACTTTTTGGATTATTTACTATTAAAAATACTGTATGTCCCACTACCCTGTTGGGTTGACAAGTTTTTAATTGAAAGTGGAAATAATTTTCTGTTTGATAAGTGATGGATGACTTGGAGCCAGGGCTGTGTGAGTTCTTCCCTCTCCTTTGTAGTGAGTACACTATAAAGACAGAGTAGCTTGTGTATATGCCTGAAAATCTGTTAGCAAATTCCCCTGATAGTTGGTAGCTGAACATCTCCTGAGTGTTCCAGGGGTGGATTTTAGCCCTGTGTGGGAATGGTAATGTCCACTGCAGGCATCCTGCGGGACCTGCCCTAGCAAGACAACATCCATTTCAGCACCACTGTTAATCTTGAAGATAAATGGTCTCCTGTCAAAGTCACCACACTTTTTCTCTTCTGCTGAACATGTTGTGTGTGTGTGATACAACTGTCAGTGTGCCTTAACCAGAGCCTTCAAGAAGCAGTTTTTGTTCCTCCCAGCCTAACACATAAGGGAGAGAAAGTGGCTGTGTCCAATATCCAATTTGGGCTTGGCTTTTTCTCAGGTGCTGGTTATCACTTGATGTAAGCTGTAAAGAAAACACACTTGTATCCCCATGAACTTCCATGGAATTTACAACTGACAGTGCCTCATTCTCTTCCTCAGTAATTACCTGATAATTCTTTGAGCAAAGACTAAGTTATGGTTATACTACGGGCACGGTGGTCCCAGCTCCTATAGATACAATGAATATAGATTATAATACAATGAATATGGATTATAAAGAAAGCCAAGGTCTTTTCACTTTCCAGCGCACATTTTTTTAATCTTATGTCTGAGTTTTCTGTTTCTTGTAAAGGTGATTTTGGAGAGCAAGCAGAAAGAGGTCCCTTTGCTTTATTACTTGATCAATAATGTGAAGTTCAGCCATTTAGCCACAAGTTATTAAGATATACTTAATTGCACACAGATTAGATTTATCTTACATTGCCATTGTACAGTCCTCTTTTGTGCTTCTGACAAATCACAAGAAGCAATTATTGGAAACTTTTGCCATTGTAAGTAATCAGCACTTAATGATGTGCTCTCTCTGGTGTGTATATATATGAACAGAGTGATTTTGGTCATGGTCTTCCTCTGCATCAGGACAATTTGAGGTTTGTATTTAAAGAGTGCTCCTGTGCAGTTCAAAACTTTTCCTTTATGTACATTTATTAGTGAAACTGAGTTTGAAAAGGCTGTTACTTGTCCTTTGTTATGCCATCTCATTGCATATTCATGTTTCAAATTAATTTGTGACAAGTCACTTTTTTCATTTCACCAAAGTGCTTTGACTCAGTTTACAGACCCTTCACAAGTCAGTGAATCTTCTCTTCAGCAAAGCTACTTACCACATACCTAATCTCCTGTGATCACTGCCAGCATTTAAAACAGCATTTTCCAAAACATACTGCATCATTACCAGCAGTGCCCCAGTCCATCCCTTTTTTTAATTTAGAAGTAGCTATGGCAACTGAAGTGGTAACTTTTTGCAAATGATTTTTTGCCCTTAACAGCTCTTGTTTTTGTGTTCCATTACAGGTATGCTGCTTCAGGGGAACCTAAGCAGCACTGATTGTTCTGTCAGTGCCCTGAGGCAGACCACATCTTCCACCCAGTTGTATTTATTGATGTATTTAAAAATTGTCATGTGTGTTTCAAATTTGATGAGCCATGGTGAACTTGCTGGTTAGATGCCTTTTTAATCAGTTTGCTTCTCTATGGTATTACCAGGACATTTCATTTTCAGAAGCTAGGAGTAATACAGAATTGTTAGAACCAGAACAAGATACTCCATGGGCTGTTCCTTTGGTACATTTTAACTCTGCATCCCCCATCTTGAATTAGTTCACAAATTTAGTAGCACTCTGAATTTATGGTGCTGTCCTTACCCTGGACTGTGCCTGTCCATTGCTGGATTTTTTGTGTATGATGAGAGTTCAGGTTTGCAAATGAATGACGTGTGGGAGCAGAAACCCAGTGTGCAAGGTTAGCATTCGCTGTGCTGTCATGAAAGCACTAAAATAAGGATGCATGTAACAGAGCATTCCTGTTCAAATCAAATCCATGGGATTTGGTAAGCACCCTTCACCAAGAGTAATTGTGTAACTCTGGGATTTTCAGTATTTATTAGACCTTTTTAACAAAGCCTCACAATAAAATGTAACTCATCAGCATTGCAGAACTTGGAGGCAATGATGCCCTGTCTTACTTGCCTTCCTTGCTGCCCCCTTGCCTTCCCTTGAATTAAGATTCCCAGGTGTTAGATGTGTGGGGGGAAAGGAGGAAGAGACTTTGCTTGCCAGGTGGGTTTTTCACAGAAGTAATAAAAATGTCATGTAAATTGAACCAGAGTTACTAAAAAAGCAATCAGAGTCTTTAAGCATGTCTGCAGAGTTGTCAGTTGTACCTAATTATTAAAGCAGCCCACAGCAAATTTCAACACTGGCTCTCTGCCGTGGCAAATTATTTTCATACGTAAATATTGCTCTCTAAGTCACCTATGAGTTGCTTTTTTTTCCTCTTCAGGCAACAGAATAGTCATAATGCTCATCTTGTAAAGTATGTTTGTCCTTGTTTTGTCTCTCTTGTCCATTTTTAAAGTAGAAAAGTTTAACTCATCCTAGAGGCATAAAAAGAGGTGAATGGAGACATTTTGAATGGCAGCCTTATTTCTTCCGCATGATTTACCACCCACAGAAGTCAACGGATGGTTATGAAACACTCAAACAAGATGAGGATGTTGTTTTCTGTTAGGAGGGGGTGCTGGGGGCAGGAGGCAGAACTCCCACAGCTGCCTGGCTGATGTGCTGGGTACTTTGCAGAGAAGTACAGAAGCAACAACCCTCTCTTGAAAAGCTTATACTACTCAAGTAGACAAATTCAGGGCAGAGAATAAGAAACACAATGCAAGAAAGCGAGAGGGAAGGTCACTGTCATGCTGCCGGTTGAACGACTTTGCTTTGGAGAGGTGCTTGTGTACACACAGATCTGTCCTTTCATCTACAGCCTGTTGTTAAGGAGTAGAAGGGAGGGAGTCAACTTCATAACACTGTTCACTGTCCAGATCCTCAGCTTTATAAAGAATGAAAGTTTCCTTTTTGCTAAGTTCCAACTCTCAGGAGAATTAAGGTTTGCAATTAATGCCTCGGTCTTGCAGAGAGACCCAAGTGAACCTTTCTTATGGCCTTTCTATCTGTGGTCGTATAAAAACTAAAAATTTTAGGAAAATATGGTCTCAAAGTAAAAGTGTTTTAAATTCAGGTTCAACTTAGTGCATACAGGCACTGGGAAAATATGACCAAGGATTTGAAAAATCCAAACCATTGCATAATTTTCAAATAAACCATTTCTATTCTGTAATGACACTTCCTTTTTAAAATTCATATTCTTACCTGAAAATTATTCACTAGACAAAATGTTTTGTTTCAGATCAAATAAAGTGCTTCAGCCTGGAGAAAAATAAGGCACTGAGTCTTGTTTTTACATCACTCACCTTGTATTTCTCTCTTTCCATTCTGTTTGTTGTGAGTTGTCAAGCACCATTAATTTAACTATGCATTAAATGTTGTAATTACTCTTACAGTTTTTTCAGCAGCCTAGAAAGAGTGAGTTATTCTTTTCTCAACTTGTGGGAGCTGGCATGTATTGACAGATGATGCTGGTCAACTTTCCCCCAACTCAGATAGGGACAGAGCTTCATCTTCTGGGTGTGCAGCAAATGCTGTTGCACTTTTAATATCTTACTTGTTGATATTGTATTCCTTTTCTAGCCCAAAAATATTGTGTTGTCACCCTGAAAATTGAGCCTTCTGATAATGTTTTCATAGTTTTAGTTACTTTCCCATGAAAGTCCTATAAACATAAGTTGTTTATCACATTCCTTCTGAGAAACACCTTTTGATGGACCTTTCACATGACCGATGTTCTTGGGAAGGTGGTAACTTAATTATCCAATCCAAACTTAATTAGTTTTCAAATGCAAAACACAAATGCACACACACACACACTCCCTACCCTGCTTTTAAACTGTTTTTCCACTTGCTTTTTTGCAAGTTATGCTGCCACAATGAAAGAGGCTGACTTGTTGTGGATGCTCTGGTGCCTCTTCTGAGTAACTGCTGAGATGTGTTTATAGCAATCAGGCTTGCATTTTTGATTGTCTAGTGCAATGCCCTCAAACTTCTCTTTTGATTTGTTTTCGATTTGTTTGGAGTTCCATGGATGCCATGTGACATCATGTACATAAGGAAATGTGTTTACACAAAATGTCTTTAGTTTATAATAGAGAAGCTTGGGGTTTGCCATTACTGACAACTGCGAATGTCTCCAGCAGCAGTTTCCATCCAGAGCAGGCAGCACTCTGGTTTATTATTTCCTGTCCAGTTTCCTCCTTTCGGTCTTGGGAGAAAATATTTCATCTTTGGTGATCCTGGGTTTTATTTATACCTTTACCTCACAGTGCTGCACACACTCTTTTCAGAGAACAGACTCACTGAAGTGCCATGTACAGTGGTGAGTTCACAGCTACCGCTCATTTTCTTTTTACCCTCTCATGCAGCATTACACAAACAGGGTCAAATTAACCTGGTGGATTTTACTTGACATTTTCCTGTTTAAAGGAAAAGCAACTTTTTCTTGAGCAAGTGATAAGCCTTTTGAGAGAATAGGGTATTGTATTTTTAGACTTGATGTCAGCAACAGAAAACTTGCATTTACTTTGCATTCTTTTTAATGTTCACATGAGAACAAGGACATGAAAAGGCTGTATCTCTGGCCTAAAAGTCTGCTAGCACTTTTATTCAATTTGTGGGGATTTTGCATGTCTCCTCTTTTCTCTCAAAGGAGCAGAGAGTTCTTGTTCTAGATACTGTTCCTCTTAAAAGCCAGAAAACAGAGGAAAATTCCTGAGAGTAGCACAGCTCCTTTTGTTGATTTTCCAGACTGAATTAAAATGTATCACAATACCCAGCCTTTAAATTGCGCTGTAATTTGTTCGCTGATGGTTTAGTAGCACATCCTGCTTCTGGAAAATGGATATTTGTTGCTTCTTTTAAAAGAAGCATTGTTTTCAGCATTTAATTCTGATGGAGCCAATGTAAAGAAGCCACACATAACCATTGTGCTCAAGGCTACTCTTCCTGTGCTTGGTTCAGCTCCTCACTAGACATGGCAGGAGAAAAAGCCTCCTGGTGGTCATGAAAAATGCCTCTGTGAAGCCTCTTTCAGGCAACATGGGTCTCTTTTAAGTCCTTCTCCAGGAGTGAAGGAGGCCAAGGAACATTATCTTGTGCTGAGAAATCATTGTGCTTTTGGGCATCTGCCATCAGTTTTAATTCAGTTAAAGCAAAGGCTGTATCCTTCCTTTCAGACTGCTCAGAGAACATCTTGGAGAAAAAGAAGTTGAGTTGACATTGATCTTCGATGCTGTAGAGGAGGCAGACCTGGCTAACTACACGTGTCACGTGGAGAACAGAAATGGACGGAAACATGCCAGTGTTCTTCTGCGCAAAAAAGGTAATTTTCCCTTTTTAGTTATCTGTGATCTCACCTGCCTCAGCAGCAGCACATCAGAGGTCCTGCTGACCTCCCTGAGCCAGTCTGGATTCCTGTGTGCCTGCTTGGAGCTGAAGTGTGCTTGTGTACAGCTTCAGTTTACCATTTGTGGGAAAAAATTGTGGATTGTTCTTCTTTGTCTAGCAAATCAGCCTTGCAGGTGATGCACTTGCCTGGAATACAGTGCAGTAAGGCACCAATAATCACGGGAAGTATTTTGGACTAAACAACCCATGACTTTGACCCAGAATTGTCTGACTAGGCCAGTTAAAACATACATTCCTTAGAACAGGTGTCCTGGCAGTGAGGTCAGATGTTCTCATGTTTCTCCACTTCCTGGCTTTGTGTTTTAAATTGAAAACTTCAAGCTGTCTCCAAGCAATTTTGCATCAGGAAGGAAAACATGCAGTGGGAGCTGCAAATACGTGGAGAGTTACTCTATCATGATCATCTTGCTTGATACTGTTCCTGAATGGGGAACACCACTACTGACAAAATATCTGTAGCAGAAGTGAAACCGTTTGGATTTGAATGTGCCAAATTTAAAAGTGCTACTGTGCTCTGTGTTTGAAAAAGTCATTATCAAAGGAGTGTAACAGTATCTCATGGCAATTCTTCTGTTGTTTGTTCAGTCAGCTCTCCTATTCATAACTAAGCTGACATTTAGATTGGATGGTGATCTCTCTGAGATACAGCATATTAGGAAATACAAAAGCTGTAAGATAGTAATTGTTGGGAAAGCAAAGGAAGGTTCCACCCTTGGGGCAAAGCTGTTATGTGAAACCACAGATCAGCACAGGAGATTGACTAAAGAGTTGATATATTGTCCAGACCTCTGACATCATTCTTAGATGTAAATTATTTTGCCAAAACAGGAGAAGAATTGTTTTCATTAGGCAAACCTGGAAGGTCAGTTCCAGTCCTTTGTGTGCTTTCACTGTGGCAAAGTTGGAATAAAGGAATGTTGATCTAGCAAATCATTCTACTGTCTACTACAAACTTAGATACAGGAGGGCAGGAAGGCTCTGCAGAGGGATCTGGACAGGCTGGATCCATGGGCTGAGAACAATTGTATGAGGTTCCACAAGGCCAAGTGCTTGATCCTGCTCTTGGGTCACAGCAAGCTCTAGGCTGGGGCAGAGGGGCTGGAATGCTGCCAGGTGGCAAAGGATTTGGGGATGCTGGAGTCACCATCCCTGCAGGGATTTGAAAGCCGTGTAGGTGTGGACACGGTTCAGTGGAGGCCTTGGCAGCTGCGTTAATGGTTGGACTCAATCATCTGGGAGGTATTTTCCAACCAAAACAATTCTAGAATTCTGTGATCTTTAGATCACAGACAGACAGGTTGTCACAGCTTTAATTAGGGAATCTGGTCATCATGACGAAGGATTAGTCTCTCTAGTGCAAAAAGCGTTCTACCTTTCCTTCCTGAACCTCATAAATATACAACTGATAGTAAGTATATCTCTGTTGGCACTGATAAATGTTCTGATGTGTGCATATAGTAGAATAACAAGCTTGGTTTATTTATAACAAAAAAATGCCGATATTTCAGAGCTCTGCTGGAATTATGGAAGAAGCACTGCTGAATACAGAATTTGGAGGTGGAAAGGATCACTTTGCAGCTACTATTTCATTTCTCTCTGCACTGTGGCTGTAGAAAACTTATATTCCCCTCAGGCACTCTCAGTAGTTGATTTTCAAGCTATTAAAGAGTCATTTAAAATAACCACTATATTTTACTGTGTCCTTTGACTGCCTGTCCCATTGTCCTGTTTGTTATTTATTAAGTTTTCACAAATACTTGACTGAACTTTTCCTTTCTGCAACTTGATTTAATTACTTCTTATCCTAACTTTCTCCAGCTTAGATTTTACTGTAGATATTCATGAGACAGGAAATACTACTGTATTTACTGAGCTGGGACAAGATTTAGGGCAGGACTTGCAGAAAGCTGTTGACCAGCATCCTCTGTGTGTGTCAAAGAAGGGATTTCTACTGCAAACTGCTGCAGCACAGATCTCTCAGTCGGAGAAATCCCCCTCCCTCCAAAGTCCTAGGTGTTAAGAGCTGCATTATCCATATTTGACAAGAGTCACTTGTAGTTCTGTTCTGTCTCCATACCTGCCCTCTTCTGTTTTTTTTTCTGGTTTGGATGAAAAATAGGAATAAACCGAAAATCTAAGTTGTAGATGTTGTATAAGATTTTCTAGTTCTTGTTTTGACATCAGATGTTTTAGCACATCATTTGTTTGGAAAAAAAAAGTAAAATTAGTTGTTCAAATATTTCAGGGAAAATACATTAAGGTCTTTTTCAGTATTAGTGGTACAGTCCCCACAAACCTTCAGGACAATACAGGAGATCAGTAGCCCCAGATCATGTGCCATCATTTAGGATTATTTTTATTGTTTGGGGTTTTCACCTGAAAAAGAACCAAATCAAGTTTCAAACCCAAAGCTACCAATGCAAAGGCAGAATCAGACATGCTCCTAAGACCTGAACACAACTGTCTGCTGTCACATTCTTCTTTACTGACTTAATTCAAGACCACATTGTTACTTGCTTTGAAGCAGTTCAGAAATAAGTTCTGGACAATCCTGGGTTTGGTTTGCTTTTTTTTTTTTTTTCCCTCTGTGCTGTCCTAGCATATTTGGTGCTCAAATAACATGGAAATGCAATATACACCCAGTCATCCCTTAGTTGTGGGAATAGTTCAGGATTCCCTTGAAAAGAGTTTGAAAGCAGTCCAGCGTTTCAGTGACTGAAGTCTACATAGTCTATAATATAACTGTTTTGAAAGATAAATAACTTGTCAGAAACCACAGAATAAAGTCAGACCATGCTTTTAGTGGCAAGAAGTAGTGAATTGAGATAAAAGTAAATATTATGATGACTTTTTCTTGTGATTTTTTTCAAGGAGGCTGTCTTTAATCAAGACATGCAAGGAACTAATTTTAGGAGGGAGGTATGATACTGATACATCACTAAATTTTGAAGAACTTCTAAAATGTATTTGTCTCTCATTTATTGGATATTCACGAGACTTTTTCTATTTTAAAGATCATAATCTGTAATATGTGAAATATGTTGTGGCAAGGTCCTTCTACATTATTTTACATTAGAAACTATAAATATTATTATTTGTTATTTTTCAGTCACTCTTATAGCACTGAGACCAGATTCAACTTCTTTTCTAGTGTTTGATATGCTGCTTCCTTATTTATCTCAGTGAGAACCACTTAAGGAGGAAGGAATTAATCAGATGCCAAGACTATGTAGAGTAGGCAAGAAAATTGAACATCCTGGGTTCCTCTCATTGCCTCCACTTTGGAATGGAAATAAAGTCAGCTCAGAAGCCTTGGTTTTCTGTCTCCTTATGTCTGTCCTCTAGGAAAGTCAATGGGGCAGAAGGACAGACACTGGACGTGCAAAAGCTGATCAGTTTTGCCTTTTGAGCTGGATTTTGTGGGTTTGCCTAATACCCTGCTATTCCCCCAACAAAAGTGTACACAACTCTGTGCTCCTGTGTCAGCTGCAAGGCTCAGCATTTTCTTTCATTCCAAACTGGCAGTTTTGCCATCATCTCAGTTTCCTAGCAAAAAAAGATTCAGTACAATTAAAATAAAATTCCCCTCAAAAGTGATTTTAACCAACTCTGTTCTCCATTTGCCTAGATTTATCCCCCAGAGCACATGCAGCTTTATCACGCAGTGTAGTAAAAGTCCCATGAATTCCCTGTGTTCTCAGAGAGATTAAATAGCTATTATAATAGACTTTTTCCATCTATTAGTCCATGACTTCTTGCCAGACAGACATCAGAGATACTGTAAACTGGGAATAGCTTGACATCTGATGTTAATTATTGAAATATAAAGCACAGCGAGGCAAGAATAACCCCCAAAGATACGCAGCTAATTTCATTTTTATCTTGAAAGTGACACAAATGACATACAAGTAATTCTTTCTGACCTAAGTTTTACAAGTGTAAAGATCACAAAAACTTTGTCCCACCTGTATTAGTTTGGCAAGTTCTGTTTGTCACAGCAGAAAATATCTTCATGACGTCTTATCTGAACTAATACAGGCTGTGAGAGTCAAATTGTCATCCCGTGTCTTTTATGGTTACCAGGTGGTGTTAGGAGCAATATTACTTCCAGAGGACATTTCAGGATAAAGAGCAATGCTGTTCAAGTTAGTCTCCTGTATCAGATGGAGCTCTGGACTGGCATCCAAGGGGTTTTATCCCACTTTGTCATTGGTTTGCTGACTGACCTTGAACATGCTGCTTCTCTTTTCTAAGCCTGTTTCCCCAGCTGTAAAAGGTGGATCACTGTGTCTGGATGCATTTGTGAAGTTCTTTGAGCTCTTGTGGTGTTTCCTAACAAAAGCATCTGAGTAGAAAATTTTAACTAACACTAGGTCCCATTAAAGTATGTGAACTCCACAGATATGTGAGAAGTCTGATAGCAGCCATGACAAACAAAGTGGCTCTTTGCAGCCTCATGTGGGCTCCAGGCTTCTTGTGTTATCTTGGGCTTCTGCAAGCTCAACTCATTTTCCAGTGATCCAGCTGAAGCCCTGGCTTGGCAGCTCACATCAGCTTGTCTACAGGCTTCACAAATATAAAACCAAAGCTGTCTAATTTGGTGGGGGAGGGACCAGATCCTTCCCAATCTGTTCTCATATGCTATACATACAGCATTTGATGCACTCTGCCAGTGCAGAAATTTCAAACTCTACCAGCTCATTAAAAGTTGGTTACTCTTCTGTGTAAAATTACTACATAGTTCCTGTGTAGGAGATTTACATGTATAGCCTCAAATGCATTCTGGATTTCAGATGGTTATTTCAGATGGGCAGTAGGTGGAGTAAATTAGAAAAATTAAGTCATAGATAATGGACAAAATTATTAGACATTTTTAATGTTATGGTGGTTATAATTGGAAGCTGCACAATTTTATGTGGAATTTTACAGTGGATTAGAGAAAATATAGCTTGGAAAGATCATAACATTTTTGCCTTTCCTTGCTAATTTTAGATTTGATCTACAAAATAGAACTTGCTGGAGGACTGGGAGCCATCCTTCTTCTGCTTATTTTGCTCGTGACCATCTATAAGTGCTACAACATAGAGTTAATGCTGTTCTACAGACAGAACTTTGGAGGAGATGAAGCAGCTGATGGTAAGCAGTTGCACAGGAAACTCAATGTGTGCAATGGAAATATTTCAGAGACCCAAAGTAGCGAGATCTAAATGCATCCTAAAAGATACCTGCTGCTAGTTTAAACTACTAAGCACCCAACAGTGCAAAGCCCTAAGACTTTCTCCCAAAGCCCCCTGAGATCAATGTGTCTTTCCACAGAAATATCACTGCTCATGGCTCTGTCATGAGCAAAAGGAAGCCAGAAGAATTGTTCATGAGTCTGGTACAGAGGCTCACATGTCATTTGTGAACTCTTTACTTTCATGTGTCAAAGGTCCCTTCTCCTGAGATCCACACTGTATACCTGAGCAGCCTTTCACCAGGTGTTCTTCATGAAGCATTTTCATTGAATTGCCACCAGGCTACCAATGACCTCCTCTGACTAGTGAGAGGTGATTGTTATGGGGCTAGCTGGTTACCCCAGTTATTTGGGAGACTGTAAACAACTTGGTGGGAATGTACAGCTTGCCTGAGGAGTATCTTTAGGAATAAACTAGACTGTTTTCCGTTTTTCTTCCCCCACCTTCTCTCTCACTAGCATATATTCTGTTTGGTGCCTAAAGCTAAACTTTTATTTTTAAATTAAAGCTTCAATTCTCCTGAATATATAACATTACTTCTCCTATGAAGCTGGAGTAAGTCTGGTAAACTAAATCCCAGTCTTTAAATCCTATTATTTTGTTCTTAACACTTAGTTCATAATTAATATGCTATTAATATGCATCTAAGTAGTATCTGCTAAAGAGAGAAAGTGCAGTATTCAAGTACAGGCACTTGCCATAGCCCACTGCAACACTTAGCAGTCACACAGGCTCTGGAATGCTACATCTACAAACTCTAATGTTTCTAGATGTAAAAGAGAGCAGGGAACACATTTTCCATAGTGCCAAAACAATGTGCAGCTGCATAGACATGTTGCTTTCTGTAATTGGCATTTCTGTTATCGCAGTAATAAATGTTTCTGTTTCACAATGAGTAGATACGGTGTGAAAAGGTTCCAGTACAATGAAATCCATATGAGTTTTGGAGAATGGATGGAATGACATCTAGGGGATTTTAGAAGGAGGAAGGATGATCCTTGTGGGTCCCTTCCAGCTCAGAATACTTTGTGATTCTGTGATAAATAGCAGGAATAGAGATCAGGAAACTTGATCTTTCTCAATCCTCATGTGTGACTGGGAAAAAAACTAAAATGATACTTCTTTTCATACTACACAATATTTATACTGGTACCTAGGACAAAGGGAAAGGTGATATTATGGGGTTTGAGAAGTACTTTACCTCAAACACCTTGGTATTATACCAACATAATATCTCTGCTTCACACCAACCAAAAGTGGTAACTTCCTCCAGCCTGCTTCAATTTGTTTATCCTGTGTTTTCAGTGTGAAGCTACTGCATTTTTACTCATGTAATTTCCTTGGTTCAATCACTTTTTAATTTATGAAACAATATTGTTTTCTGGTTGTTTAGAGGAAACCCCATGAGTACATTGGGGATTTTGTGTGCCTGTAAATTTTGAAAACAACCTTTTATTTTTCCAGTGCATAATTGTAGACCTTCCACAGCTTTGTGTCTCATTCTGATCCTGCAGGATGAAAGATGGAGGCAGAATGTCACAGAAGTCAAAGCATATATGGGAATGTTTGTTTCTTCTCATGTAGGCAGTAGTGGGAGCATACAGTGCTCCCATGAGCACTCAGCTGTATAGATGCAATCACAGGGTCATTTTCCACTTATACGTGTATTTCTTTAAAAAAGAAGATTTGGAACTCAACAGATCTGCTTTATTCCTATTTCTAAAAATATCCCACATGAGCAATGTTGGACACACTCACTTCCTGTGTTGTGTGTAGCATTGCTTTTAGAGAAAATGACAATGAAGATTAAAGGATCCATTTAGGAAATGGCTCCAAACAGTGCTGCTCCCAGAGCCCCCAGAGCCAGCAGTGGGTGAATGCAGGCAGCTCCTTCTTCCCTGTCCTGGTACATGAAGCTTGTGTGGAGCTGGAACAGCAACACACGAGCTCCCAGGAGCCTGAGGGAGCTGCCTCTGTCAACATCCTGCTCACTGGCACTGTGAGCTGAGGTGACTGGGGAGGGCAGCTGTGCCCCTGCGGGGGCAGGAGGCTCAGGGAGCTCTCATGCTGCTCTGCAGTCAGGGATGTCAGTGCTCTGCTGCCCTCGCACAGCTCTCAGACCTTTGCAGGGATACTGCCTCCGGGATCACTGGCATCTCTTAAAAGGTTCTGGCAGGCTTCCTTATGGACAGGGTGGCAGCTTTTGGATAGGCCTCCAAAGCTGGCTGGCCTGTTGACTTCAGAGGAATGTCAGCAAGCCAGGTGGACATCTTCCATCCTCCCCTACAGCCGCGGTGACACCAGGAAAATTGCCTTTTACAAATATGTAATTATTCACATGCTTTGACTACAGCTCTGACCGTCATGGGTCTGGCTTTGTGTCAGGAATTATAAGTAACCATCAGTTCAAGGTCATCAAGAGATCATTTATTATTATTATTATTATTATTATTATTATTATTATTATTATTATTTATTTGTTCTTTTTATCAGAATATATTGAGGAATTTTAACTGCTTTAATTATCTTTCACATGCACAATTATTTACAGATAATTGGTACTCAGAAACCTGCCATTCATGCAGTTTTCTTCACGCAATATTAACTATTTGATTTTTCATTTTCTGTAAATAATGGCAGCTGTGCTCTTCCCTGGAGGCCAAATTGCTGAAGGTTGACTTTTTCAATATACTGTTTTCCATTACTGCAGAGGAATACAAAGAGAAATGTCACTAAGACAGTCTGATCCCAGCATGGATCCCCAGCTCTGTGGTGGCACCACTTCTGCTCCTGGCACACTCATGAGCTCTTAGCAGAAGCAGAGCCGGAGACAAGCCCCAGTGCTGGGCAGGAGGAGGAAGAGGAGGAGGAGTGTTGCCCCTTTTGGGAGTTATTTGTCTCTCTTATAATGTGATCCCCAAGTATTTCAAATCTCCTGGATCAAATGGATTGTGATCTAAAATTATGATATTGATTTTTAAAACTATGTGTTTCTCTGAAAAAAAATACTTTGAACTGTTTGTATTTGGCATTGTTTTCTGAATAGTCAGTATTCATTTGAATTAAGTCATGTCTCACAATTACATATGGAAGGAAATTTTCCTTTCTCAAAACTTTCCAGGCTCAAAACTTTTCCAAGCTCAAAACTTTAGCATACTCCTAGAACTCTTCAGGAATAGAATTTGAAAGAATTGCATTACAAATATGTAATATTAAAATAAAAGTTTCCACTTTTGTATTTGGATGAAAATTTTGCCCATGATCTTTTCAACACATATCTGACCACATGGAGCAGAGTTACTGCTCAGCATGCAGAAGAAAACTGAAAGGATTCATGTGATTTCTGCCTGGAACCCAGATGATATGTTCCTATGAAAAGTCCCCATTTTGTTGGGAAATACTTTGTGGTTTCAAGGAATAAAACAATTTCCCAGTACTTTCCTGTGTTCCTTGTAGTGTTCTTGCAAACAGCAGGCTGAACATGATTTGTTTTCTTGCAGACAACAAAGAATATGATGCTTATCTTTCATATACCAAAGTGGATCCTGATGCATTAGATCGTGATAATAATGAAGAGGAGCAGTTTGCACTTGAAATTCTGCCAGATGTTCTAGAAAAGCACTATGGATATAAGCTCTTCATTCCAGATAGGGACCTGATCCCTAGTGGAAGTAAGTATTTCTGACCTTAGAGTTTTATTTCTGCCTGATGTGTCACAAAGGCCTGGACTGTGTGATAAGTACTAGATATGGAAAACCTTGGGAAGTGGTTGCAAAGAATGGAAAAGTTTCCTCAGCACTGCAAATTTGAGTTCTCTGTTAGAGCTTGTACCTGAACCACTGAAATCAGAGGGAGCTGCCATTAGTTTCAGTGGGAACAGGAGCTGGACCTTCCTACAGGGAAGGCTGCAGCACTGCAAGCAATACCAAATCCAAAATGTCTACATCAAACACAGGTCACTAAGCAGGAAACTTTCTAAAAGGATTTTATCATCTTTGTTACTTGATTGAAAATGGGATTATTATTTATTTTCAATGATTAGCATTTTCTCTACAGCAGCATTACAGGTAAAAGTCATCTTTTCTATTGTCTTTTGGATTTTTCCTTAACTTGTAAGTCTCATAAGATTCGGCAGCACCTTTGGATGTCTCTACCAAAGGTCATTGCTTTCCTAGTGGTAGTTATGGCATTTCTTCTACCAGACTCATTTTTGAGCAAGTCAAAAAGACCACGAATCGTATCCATTGTGGTGATGAATTTTGAATGCACAGAATGTTTGCTGTAATATCATATTTATTTGAAGTGCTACACTTGTGAAAAATCAGCTTTTTCTTTTTTGTTACAAATTCCATCTCCAAATCGCTTTCATAAAAACAACAGAGGAGAACATGAGCTTCTCTCTGTATGTGCTACTGTGTAGGAAATATGAACAAGAGAACAAAGCAATGGCTGTAGTAGAGCAGATGTCCCCAAACATGGAACAGCTCGAGCATAGCTGCATTACAACCTGCCTGCCAAAGGACTTGAAACTGCTGCCTCACTGTGCCAATCGCCAGTGCCTGACCCAGAAGGCAGAGTCTGTTTCTTCTCTGACCTTTGAGAGCACTGGAAAGAGAACTCTGAACCCTTTACCACTGGGAAAGAGGAGTCAGAGCCTCACCAGAGATCATGAAAGGCCTGTGCAGGGGGCTTGAATTTATCCCATGCATTTTCAGCTCCTAGTTTAGAGCTGATTCACTTCTTCTTTTTGCCCCTGCAAGGTGTAAGTTTTCCTCCCATAGTGACAAATTACAGAAAGGGGACTTGGTTCATGGCTTTCTTATTTCTTACAGTACAAGAAAATGATATCAATTTTTTAGATATTATTAAGAGAAAATAAGTCTTTTTTTTGGTAAAAACCACTGAATTGTTGTAACTAGTTGTTTCATATCCAACAATATAGCAGAGTTATACATAGCAATTAGGCAAGTGAACTAAGAAGGTTAAAGTTAACCCTTCAATGATAACTATGCTGAAGCACAGATTAATCTGAAATGAGATTCTTTTTTCCAATTGTTGTTCCAGCCAGCCTGGTATTTTATTTTTGTCTATTTTTGTCAGCATTGCACTCAGCAAATACTTGCCATCACTTTGGGTATTCATTAAACCTCTCCTGAAAATGTAGGGTACCTGAAAATGTCAGTTCTCATTTATGAACATTCACAGATTTAATCCTTCTTCTTTCCTCTCAAACTCACTTCTTCAGTGTTATGAAAAGGCCTGATTCTAACACATGGAGCTTCAAGAACGCCTAATCAGACATAATGACAAGGCAGAATAAAATGTGGAGCTGAAATGAGTATGATTTGCATGCTTTAGCTTTGAAAAAGATAGGGGGGGAAACACTTCATTTCAAGAGGGGCTAGAGGGAGTGTGGGGGGATGGGGAAGGAGGGAAGACTTGGCCTCCTGCATTTGTGAGCTCTTCATGTGCCCTGGAGTAGTGGAAAGTGTTCTGCCTAAAACTCACCACTCTCACAAAAACTTGCAGTGCTTAGTGAAGGCAGTGTGATGTGGAATGGGCCTGCTAGAAGCTTCAGAGGAAAACATAGCATATTTTAGAGTGACTGTCTCAAAAATTGGCAGATGTAACAAAATATATAGCTCTCCAGGGTAGATTTCTACAGAAAAACAGGGGGTTGATCACAGTAATTGTTTTATTTTAGGAAATATCTCTTCTCACGTTTCACTTCCTCATCTTTCAGTGTAAATTACTTTCATCAACGTAATCATTTCCCACTCCCTGTTCTGATGTGTGTCCTTCTCTATCGTGTGTACCTTGGTGTGTGTCACCCCAGCAGTGCAGCCAGGAGCTGTGCACGGCTGGTGCTTCCTGCAGTCCCTGCAGTTGTGAGGAGCTGCCACGGGAGGGTGTGCACCATTCGCTTCCTTCTTGGCATCCTGCAGCTGCTCCCTGCATTTGAGAGCAGGCAAAAAATAGATTTGTTAAATAATATTTCATTAATTTCCTTGCGCAGTTCTGCAAACAACCTAAAAAGCTGACTTGGGGAAAATTCAGGGACAAGTTTGATTGTGTTTCTGTCCAGCTGGCTCATGGCTAACCTCTGGGGACAGCTGTGGTGGGCTCTGCATGTCCCTGTGCAGCCGAGGGAGAGATGACAGGCACATGTGCTGTGCTGGGACACACCCACAGCCACCTCCTCCCCAGGGCACATCCAAGTTCTGATTTCAGCTCTGGCCCAGGGATGTCCATGGAGTGACTGCTGCTGTCCCCAGGAAGTCAGAGGTGCTGGCTGTGGGAACTGAGGCCACCTCTTCACCATTGGGAAACACATCCCAGGGTTCAGGTCAGATGGGGCTGAGTCGTGTTTTGCAGTAGGTGTTGGTTTCTGAGCCCTGACGGAATACAAATTTTATCCCACTGGAGCATTTTGTCCTAGTGGGAGGGAGACCCACCATGAAGGATGCCATGGCCTCAGTGATGCCCATCACACAGTGGCCAGCAAGGACCTTTGTGATCAGACTCCTGGTGCTGCCTGAGAGCAGCATGGATGGATCCAAGTCCCTGAACTGGCAACATGGAAAATACTCCCACACAGCCATGCCGGCTGGGAGGCAAGACTGGCGACCCAGCAGGGAGACATGGTGATGTAGACAGAGTTTGTAACCCAGGAACTGAGTTGCATGTTGTGGGAAGTACTGTAGCAGCTATTTTTTCTTAAAGAATACACTTTGGTCTTAACAGAATGAGTGTTCTTCATTCTGTCACAGCTGACAGCACACACACCTCTCTGCCTAGGTAACTTAGGTGTAACTGGGCAAGTTAACCTGAATAAGAGACTGCGATCCCTGAGATGCTCTTGCAGTTGTTACTGAATTCTTTAGCAGTTCTCATTATTTTCACCCTATTCGTTTTCAGGGCTCTTTTAACAAACCCTTTCCCACAACAAGCATCTCAAGCTCTGTGAGTTTTTTCAATTCAATGTTAGGACACCTGAGGAGATTGAGTAGTTGGTGGAGGGTTAACAAGGTGAGTTATGTTTTCACCTGAGCCATTTTTATCTTGCTAAGGATGATGTCTGCAGAGAAAAATATCTATTTGCACTTCTTCTAAAATCAGGACTACATCAGAGGAAGCTACTTTTATCCATGGTTTCTGCAAATTATTTTAAAACCTGAAATTGAAGAGGTAAAAATTGTCAAGTTAGACCTTTACAGCATTACATATCTATTAGAGCATAATCTAGTTGTTCTCTAAGCATATGTGCATTTGGTCTTGACAGGATTGAAAAAACACCAACAATTCACTCCAGCTCAGCCCAGGGTATGAGATCAGGCAGTGAAAAGAACAACAGTGATGGAATAAAAATATTTGTTTATGTGAAAAATGAGAAGCTCTCAGCACAGGGGGAGAGTGTCTAAGGCATGTGATAAAAGCACACAGCAGTCAGTATTGTAGTTCTGGCACTTTGTAGTTTTGTCTGCCCACCTGTGTGGTTTTTGCCTGGTGAGTTTCAGCTTCCTGGGTTCCTGCATGAGGAAAACCCAGTTGGACCAAGTGTCTGGGGTTTCCAAGGAGCCTTAGTTTGGCTGCCATTTCTTCTTCTGCCCAGCAAGGATACTGTTTCTTTGGAGCAATATCCAGCTCCACATACTCCTTTCAGAAGTCCCTGGTTGTCTGCTCTGTATGAATCTTACTTTTAATGTCAGGCATGGATGAGGGCAGCAGGGATACACACGGATGTCAGCTGAGAGAGGAATAAATATGAACAAAAGGCAGAAGGGCTGGCTGTCCTACAGTGCACTAATCTGCATTATTTGTTTCTTTATGTTGAACTCATCAGCTGTCCCTCAGTTCATCCTGGGATTGGGCTCTCTTCGGGAAAGGGCCATTACTCTCCTCTGTGTTTCAGCTGTTCTGGTCCAAGCTAAGAGAAGGAAAACATTTAATAAATAGGAAAAGAAAGACACAAAATCATTGCTGTTATAATAAAGTAATCAGACTCAGGGTTTGGGAACTATTCAGCTAGGAAACCAGAACTGAATTACTCTTCTATAAATAACTTTCTTAAGTGATGGTCACACTGCCAAACACAGAAAGGCTGGTTATTTTCAGAGTGCCATGGGTTTGATGGTATACTCTTTGGTTCTTGTAGTGCTGCAAACTATGTTTCCCAAAAATATCCATAGGATTTTATATGATTTCTAGTGTTTTTTCCTACTCCCTCAACTCCAGCAAATCATCTGAATCTGGTTAGACAGTCATTTCTTTGTGTAAGCAACTCTGTGCCCACAGTGTTCATTAATTTCCTTGCTCCTTGTCTGCTTGCATATTAGGTTTCCTTCCAGCCTGTGGTTAATGTAGCTCTTTAAGGGTTCCATAGGCAGTTACAGATGATTTAATTGCAAACAGGATGCATCTCTTGGAATTCTCTTCTTCAGTGTGCCAAACTACAGTTCAGCATTGTTACATGTAGATGGTGTTTGGTGAGCACATATTTGCTGTCAAGTGATCTCTCTTCATTACTCAAGGGAGCCACGCAAAAAACAACATTTGGGTTTGAGTATTAACACTTCTTGTTGTCTGTTCCTCCTTGGGCATTACATTGAATGTGATGCAAGTAAGTTACTGATAGAGCCACATATAATGTAAATTCTTTTTTTTTTTTTTTTTTACCTATGAGAATTGCTAATATTTTGAGAACAGTTTTGTACCACGTTGCAAAATGGTGTTTCAGGGAAGGGGGAAAACAGTCAAAATTTAAAATGTGTTTTTTCAGTAAAAACAAGTGGGTTTAATCTAACGCTGACATCTTATTTTTACATTCTAATTTATGATAAAATACAATCCCTGGGATTTAAAAGTGAATAATTCCATACTGACTTTGTCAAGACATTTTTTTTTTCTCCCCTTACAATGAAATATCATTGAAGTTGATACCTCCTGCAGCAAAAGTGAAGTTACAGCGAAGTTATATTTATCTGATGGAAATATGGTACTCTGGAAATTTACACTTGATACTCGTTGGTGACATTATTCCTGAAGTTCCTTTTCAGTTTTTTTCTTGTAAATGAAACAGAGCCATTGCCTGACAATAATTTCTTAGCTCACTGGAAAGGTGAAAGCAACCCTTTCTCCATCCCACATTGCAATATAGATTGCTTGGATTTAGGACCTTCTAATGGACTGAACACTTGGGACAGACAACTGAATCTGCAGTATTTTGGGAAGTCTGCAATTCTGAAGTAAAAGGAGAGCGGATGATTTAGTGACTCAGAGGTTTATGCAGTCAGGTTGGTACCACTGGGAAAAATAAATCTGGAATTTCCAGAGACAGGAATCTCTCTCCCCATGTCTTTCTTCACAGAAATGTTCAAGTTGTGCAAATTTGACATGTTGTAGAGTGCACCCAATGGAACCGCAGGCTCCAGGAAAATTGTCATCTGCCTTCAGTAGTAGTCCTAAGCTGGAGTTAGTGGGAGTACTAAGTACTTCTGGACCAGAAGGCTGGAAATTTGGGGTTCCAGTTTCTTATAACTCAGTGTACTTCATCCTCAGTGCATCAACAAGTCCCCTGTTCATTGGCCACATCTACTAGTGACCAGCTCCAAGCATGGAATCTGAGGGATCACCTCATGACCATTTGTGAAGATGTTCATTAGTCAGCTGAGGACAGAGCTCTAATGTGTAGCAATACCCAGTAAGGAAGGTGGGCATCCAAAAGAGATGTGAGAAGCACAGAGGAGAGAAATGTCCACCTAAGAAAACAGGAAATTTCTTTCAGCTTCTTTCCGCCCTTTTTGCCCAAGGCAAAGGCTGACAACTTTTTGATTGCGATGGTGTGATGGATTATTGCTGGGGCGTTGCTGTTGAAATGGTTGGTGCTGGATATTTGAAGAGATGAAAGTGGAGTGATTTTTTTGTTTGTTTTGTTGGTTTGTGTTTTTTCTCAATTGGATGCATTTGGATATGCATGGCCATGCTCAGACTGCCCTGGACATACGATATTGCCCAGTATTGTGTCCTGCAGAGAATTGTCTTGTGCATAGCAGTGTTCTGAGTTGTTTGGAGGAGGGATGAATATGTCTCAGGAAAGATGCATGATAGTTTGTTGTTTTACTGTATCTTGCAGATTCAACCTCTAATGATGAAGCTTCCCACCTAAATTCTTTCTTTTTGGGAGCAGAAAGAAAGGAAGAAAATGAAGAGTCTGAGCTGTTGATACATTGGGATAATATCTTTCCATTGTATTGAACATTTCTACCTTTCCTTAAGTTTTGTTTCACCAGTTCTGCTTATCATTTTCTCATTGTTGCTGATGCTCTCCCCGCTCCACTGCCTCTCCCATGGATTTTAATGTTGAATTTTTTTCAATAATGAGTAACTATTTTATGCAGAACAGTGGGGGGCTTTCCTCATAAAGTATTTCAAGGAAAAAAAAAAAAACTGTAAATGCTGCATGATTAAAAAGTCATAAACCATTAACTAAAAGTCAGGATTGTTGCATAGACATTTGTAATGTATGTGTATGTCTTAAATTTTTGTGTGTCTGTGGGATGTTTGCAATTGCCTTTTTTCCATTTGTGAAAGAAATTCTTCTTGCTGCTAAGTGGTGAAATAAAACATTGGTAAAGGCAGATTTGATGCTAACTATGCCTTCAGTCTCATGAAAATAAGCTATTTTAGAACGTTCCTGTTGGCCTATTTTGTAGCCATTTACTTTATTGGAAGTGGTGTGATTAAGCATGCTGTGGTATGGTGCCTGGGACTATAAAATGAGTCTTGCAGTAACAGATGTTGATTAATAATGTTATTTGTAATTATTGTTCCTACTAGAGGGCAGATGTGTAAGAGAGGTCCTGCCCTGTGCTGAGTAAAGATCTGTTCTGTGCAGCTCTTGTGTCCAAGTCTTCATTTCTAACACGTGCTTCTCCTGTGTTGTCAGGCAGCACATTCCCAGTAGCATGGTCAAGAGGTTCATGTAGTTTAAAAACACAAAGACATCCTGTCTCAAAGCTTGCAGTTGTAATGCTGTGCAACCAATGAACATTTTCTGCCCTTAGTGGTTTTGTTCAAGGGATTTAATTTTTCTGGTCTTGACCTAAAACCCATTGAAGTTTGTTGAATGAAGTCTGTTCATTTGAATGGGTTTTGGATCAGGTCTGTAAGTAGATCTCTTTCCCATCCCGTTCCATGTCAGACCAGTGTATTTGGCTTCTCTTCCCTTCCATCCCTGGGATAAATGGAACTCAGGGATCAAAGTCCAACTTCACGAATATTTTGAAGTTCAATAAACTGGTATCATGGAGCTGCTGATGGTGCTGGCATTTCTGCTTACACTGATCGTCTGCAACTACTTGGCATGCATGAATAAAATAATTCTACTATTTTCTTTGTCACTGATGTCTCAACAAATAAATACTTCCAATATGTTTAAATTTTCCATTTGTTCCTGTCACTTGTGAAGTCTCTGTTAATACCTTGGGGTACATAGAAGCACAGGTTTGTGATATTAAAACAGACCACTGGGCCACAAAGAATGTTCTTGTGCTTTTGTGGTCAATACCTAAAGAAGAAAAAGCTACCATGATGCTTCTATGCAATAGCACAATTTCTGCATGTGATGAGGGTTCATTTCTTTTTGAGCTTTGGCAAGTTATGGTTCATACACAGCACCCTCATGTCTTTGCACCTGGAACACGGGAACCGCTTCCCAGAGCGTGCTTCCCTCAGCACAGTGTTAATCATAACCAATGTTAATGTTAGAATTCACACAAACATTACATTGATCTTGACCTATATTTTTTTCACTAAGTGAACTGTGTGTTTTTATTCTCTAATGCACCTACACAGCAAGGGTGTTATGTAAATGTCATTCTGCTGCAATGAACAGGAAGAAATAGAAAGGATGGAGGGTGTTATTAAGGAGTTTTCTATGTACTCCATAAATAGAAATATATTGTGATACACAATCCTATTTTTGTTGGAGTATATTGAAATGCCCATTTTAAATGGTGCGGATCAGTAAAATGCAGGATTTTGTTATACTTGATTGCAAGCCTGATGTTTTAATACGATAGACTTCTTTATTCTTTACTCTTTCTCTCTTTCTATAATTTGTAGCCTACATTGAAGATCTCACAAGATGTGTTGAGCAAAGCAGAAGACTCATAATCGTGTTAACTCCAGACTATGTTCTCAGGAGAGGATGGAGTATTTTTGAGATGGAAAACAGACTCCATAACATGCTAGTCAGTGGAGAAATCAAAGTTATTTTGATTGAGTGTACTGAATTAAAAGGGAAGGTGAATTATCATGAAGTGGAATCATTAAAGCACACCATCAAACTTCTCTCAGTGGTCAAGTGGAAAGGACCAAAAAGCAGCAAACTGAATTCTAAGTTTTGGAAGCGCCTAGTCTTTGAAATGCCAGGGAAGAAAAAGGAGGTGGTGTCTCGGCATCAGGTCCTGGATTCTGCAGAGCAGGGCCTCTTTGGAGACCTCCAGACTGTGCCCTCTCTTGCCGTCACAGGCACTTCTGCCACGCTGGTGGAGTCGCGGGCGGATTTAGGCGATTTCCAGCAGGCAGACTCGGTGCACATGAGGCACTACTGCAGAGGCTACGAGTACGACGTGTCTGCAGCCACGCTGCCCATGGCCTCCATCAGCAACCACCACACATACTGTAACATCCCCCTGACACTCCTCAACGGACAGCTACCTCTCAACAACGCCGTCAAGGACCCCCAGGAGTTCCACAGGAACAACCCCTTGCTACCCTTATCGGCCAAGGAGCTCAGCTTCACCAGTGACATCTGGTAGTGAACATCAGGGCTCTTTAGAGACGCTTCATGGCCACCGTGAAGGGATGTTTGTAAAGAACTTTGCCCTACCCGTGTGGGGTGAGAAAAACTATTCAAAGCAGCAGCACACTTGTTTGCTTTTCTACTTGAACTTTTTTGTTTACATTTACAAATTATTGACGAAGGGGGCATTCTTTTGTAACTCAGTAATGTCCTTCCTGTCTTTTAATGTACAGTTTTATTGCTTCTTCAAAAAGGAGGGGGGAGAGAAAAAAACTCATCCTGTCACTTCACAGTAGGTTTATAATCTGGGATGGATAAAAGGTCACTGTATGCGATCTCCAACATCCATACATATTTAAGTAACAGTATTTGGAATACACAGAAGTTGTTGGGTTTTTCATATAGACTACAGTAGAGTTTGAAATTCTAATCATGCTACAAAAATTATTATCTCCTGCACAGACCACAAGGGGTGAATCCTCTTGAAAAGGAAGGAGAAGGAAACCTTCCTGGTAACATTGTCTTGCAAATACTTCTTAGAAGATGCCCAGCTGAAACAATGCAGATGAAGCTTTATCAATAAAGTGCATATTAACAGTTGCTACAAAATAAATCACCTGCTCCCATAAGCATCTCTTCATTTTATTGGGGCATGTTGTATTCCTAGTCAATGGTTAGCAATGTGATTTTATTAAACAACTTACTAGAATACTGGAAGATGTTTAGAAGGATTTTAAACAATTTTTCTGTCAACTATAGATTATTTCACAATTTTTTGCAGATTTTTAATGACTTTTTCCAAATAATTTAAGTATAAATTTAGCTGTCTATTGGCCAATTCATTAATCTGGAATTTCTTAAGGTCTAAGATTTGTAGTAAAATAATTTTATGTAGGATTTTTTTTTCCAAAACCAGTAGTTACAATTTGAAATTAACCTTTTTTGTGAGAACATCAGCAATAGAAAAGAAGTACTACAGCAATATTCAGAGATTAAGTGCTAAATTATTCAGATTTACTAGTAAGTCTGACTTCCATTGCAGTGATAATCACCTGAAAGAGTTTTCTCTCATTTATCTACCTGCCAATTTATGTACCTTTTAAATATGGCAGAAGCAGGAATATTTCTGCTGTCTGTGCAACTAGTGAAAAGCGATGTTTTTAAGCAACTGGCAAGGTCTTGCATTTCACCCTTGTGTGAGTGATCCCATCAGTCAAATAGGATCCTGTCATTTAGCTGTCATGAATGGCATTCCTGCTGCTGGTGGATGAGAATTGTTACACAGGTGCTCAGCATCAGGCGTTGCTGCTCAGCGAGCACCAGTGTGTTCCATGGAGATTTCCACACTCAGCTGGCTAAGGCAGAGTCAGGCTATGGAAACAACCGTATTAAAGGGAAAAAAAGCTCTAAATAATGGAGGCAAAAGCCAGTTTTGCAGGTTTTGGCATGGCTTTAATGAAAACACAGCAGACATGAGAGTTGTGTCTCAATAAGATCTGCTGGAGCAAGTTCCCAAAAATATTTTTAAGGCAGGCAACTATGCCTGTGCTTCAGTATGTCTTTAGCATTGTTCTCTTTGATTGCATGAATAAAAGTTAGCACTCTGCACTCAGCTGCCTGTGGTTTCATCAACCAACAAGTTCAGTAAATCCTTGACATTTTGCAGTGGTTCCTAAATTGTACCCTACAGTCAAATGGAAACAAACACTGACCTAAGACTTAAAAGTATCCAGAATTGGCCCAAAGGCCATGAAAATGATCTCAAATGTGCAATAATTCGTGGAGGTCAGTATTTTTCCATTGCTTCTTCCCCCAGTTCTTTATTCTGTGCCCTCCTTCACTAGTCATTGTCTGTATGATTTTTCATTCAGTTCTAAATAATACGTGTTTCTCAAATTTTTTGCTAAAATTATCATGCATTTGACACTAACACTAAAAATGGAAATCTAGAAAAGCTATTAATTTATTACACAGTATAGAACTATAACTTGCTCTTTTGTGAAGTTAAGTTCCAAACATAGGTGTTTAATAGACGTATTTTTCTACTGAGAAAGCAATTTTACCTCCATTATAAATATATGTATTTCAACTTCTTCCCAAAAACTTACAGAATTTGCACTGTTTTATAAGTGTTACAGACTGTGTTTACACTGGCTGTGTTCTTTAATGCAAAGTGTAATTTAAAAAAGAAAAAAAAAAACAGAAAAAAATCCTAAATGAAAACCCTGCATGAAAAGAGCTGCATATGTTTAAATGAAAAGCTGTACTTTTCATTATTTTCCTTCCCACATTACTTTAGAATCTGATTAATTCACATAGAATGTTCAGTGAGATTTTAAACCTGCTAGTTCTGTATTAAGCATGCAAACTCAAAAAAAAAAAAAAAAAGAAAAAAAAAGAAAAGAAAAAAACATATGCAGGTTGGTCTGCTTCTTTTATTTACAAGGATTTACTACAGGTAACAAATTCATTTACCCCATGATAATATGTCTCAGAGCAGAAGTTATTCTAAAGCAAAATGCAGTCATGTTTGTGTTGAGGAAACATGAAAAGAACAGGTTTTCAGTCATTTTGCAAAAGCACATTGAGTGTCTGTGTGTCGATATCTTTTAGTTATAGATGCCAAGTCACAATCTGCTTTAAGATTTCTGAGTGTGTATTGAGTACTACAACAATATATACATGAATCAGACCTGCCTGTACCCCTCTGCTTTTAGTGTGGGAGTGGGGAGCTGAGCTCGGGGGGCCTCTTGTTGGCTCAGTTTTGTGTGATACCAGTACAGAATCATAGAATTGTTTAGGTTGGAAAAGATCTCTAAAATTATCGACTCCAACCATTAACCCAGCTCTGCCAGCCCACCACTGACCCCTGTCCCCAAGTGCCACATGTTTTTTATACACCTCCAGGGATGGTGACTCCACCACTTGCCTGGGCAGCCTGTGCCAGTGCTTGACAACCCTTTCAGTGAATAATTTTTTTTCTAATCCAATCTATGCCTCCCGTGGTACAACTTGAGGCCATTTCTTCGTGTCCTGTTGCTTGTTACTTGGGAGAAGAGTGAGCCACACCTGGCTACACCCTCCTTTCACAGAGCTGTAGAGTGAGAAGGTCCCCTCTGAGCTTCCTTTTGTCCAGGCTGAGCACCCCCAGCTCCCACAGCTGATCCTCATCAGTCTTGTGCTCCACAATCCTCCACAGCTCTGTGTCCTTCTCTGGACACGCTCGAGCCCCCTGTGCCACACAAGAGGCCAAGTGTTTCCATAGGTAGCACTTAAGGGTCTGGAAGATCCCTGTCAAACAAGGAGATGCATCTGTCCATGGGACTTGGGTGCCACAGGAGCCATGAGCTTGTCCCACTGGGAATCACCTCCACAGCAGCCCTCCAGTGTGGCAGCAGTGACAGCTGGATCAGGGCCTTGGTGGCAAAAATGTCCCAGCTCTTTCATGTGAAATTCATCAGATGAAATAGAAGGGAATATGGGCATTTCGTGTTGCCCTATCTCACCAAAGCCACGGTGGATTTATCAGATGGATTTATCAGGGGAGAGGCCAGGACACCACCCCGACTGTACAGCCCCAGCACCCCCAGCTTGTCAGGCTGTGCCTTGCCCAGTGACAGAAATCACCAGCAGCAAACATCCTTATTGCAAACATGGGAACTTCTGGTGTGGGGCACATTCATCTCAAAGATGGTTTATGATAATGTTTGGAAGCTACTGTTTTGACCTTTGTGTGCGATGTACTTCACAGACAATTGTGGTTTAAAGATTGTCTATAAAATGAGCCAGAGGTTGGAAGCCTATCCAGTGCTACAGATTTGATGCTCCTAAAGAATATTCAGCAAGAAAACAGGGTAATGTTAAATTAAGGAAAACAGTGAATATTGACAGTTCTTGGGACTTGTGTGCTGGGCTGGTATTTTAATAATACTCCTTTATCTAGACAGTAGATAAGAAGCCTCTGTAAAGATATTGCCATACTTTGCCACCAGGTCTGCTCCAAAACGCATTCAAGCCAACAGAAAGAGTTCCATCAAGTCCAGCAGACTTTGGATAAGGCCATAATACCTTATGCTTACTGTGTACAGAGGAATAAATATTAAAAAAAAAAAAAAAAAAAAAAAGAAGAGAGATAGAAGGCAAGAGACTAAGAAGCATTTGCTTATTTATTCTGTCTAAAATTAAGCTTATTTTTGTCCCTGTTTGATGTGGATATGCTCCAGGACCATCCAGCCTTGGGAAAGGAATTTTGTTCATTCTTTGTTATAAACAAGATAAGAACTTGGGAATAAATAACAGATACTTTTACAGGGGAAAAAAAAAATCATTATTTTTAAGGGCCTCTGCTCTCAGTAGTTCCTTTGATTCAGCAGGCTCTCTCTGTTCATCAAAATGCATAAGCACATACTCAAATTCCCTTAATTCAGTGAGAAATGGCTTGCTGAGCAGGGGCCTGGAAGGGCAGCTCAGTCCCAGAAATCAGCATTCAGCTGCCTTTAGAACTGAGCCTGGTGGAGAGCTCCAAGCAGCTTTCCCAGTGCCTGTCTGAACAGAGGAGAGGGAGCTGCTGGGTCTCAGTGCTGCTCACAGGGGGGAAGCCTTCAATGCCCATTAGCCTGGCATGACACCACCCTGGCAGCTCCTCATGGATGGGAGAACAGTGGGGTTTTGCACTGGGTCCCAACTGGGAGCTCATCCCATGGGATGGCTTGGTTAGAAATTCTGTCCACAGGCCACCTCCACATCCATGCAGCAGCTTGTGCACCCTCTCTTGTGCACCCTTTGAGGTTCATGTTGGGGCTGCAGAGTTTCTGGGACTCTAAGAAAAAAAGTGGAGGATGTGATGAAGGGAGAGGAAGAAGAGAGCAGTCAGAATCCAAGGGTTTTTCCAGGCAGAAACACTGAGTGAAAAAGGGGAATGGCAGTTCTTGTGTGAATGCATCATGTTTGTCCACTCTTCAGTGGATGCTGTGCAAAGTTCCCCAGAAAGATTTCATTTCTTGCCAGCTCATTTGC